TCAGCCAGAGTCCCTGAGGGTTCAATTGGAACAACCTAGTGCAACAGTTTCTTTGTGAACACCATCTTAGTTTGAGGAAACACCAATTTCATTTTTATTCTTCTCATCCAGGCAACCCCTTGATCAAAGCTGGTTTCACCCCAGTCAATGCCCCTACTGGTACCACTTCAGTGGTAAGAATTTCCCCATCAAACCACATGGGATGTTTCATTTGTAGATTTAGCTCATCCTTTTTTAACTTAAATGTTTGCAATTTGTTAAACGTATGTACAGGGTTAGTAATCTAATGCAGTCATTCCTTTTGGTGAAAAAATTCTAATAATTTGTGATAGTTTACAGTTGTATTTTCTTTCAACAATAAAATAAAGTAGAAGAATATAAGAACAAAAACATATAATAGAAGAAGAAGAAAAACTAAATTTAAAACTGAGAAATCCACACTTTCCTCAGGGCCTGCACCTGCCACACCCCCCTGCAGGCAGACCAGCACATGGTCAGAGACACACTCCACTGAGAAGAGCCAGTATGCCTCAAACAAGGCTTCCTGAACCAGCACCAATTATCTTGAGTGGACATGGCTATGTGGCAACATCACTGATTCAGATGGGGTAATTACTTGTGTACTGGTTGTAAACCACACTTCAAGAAGTCTGCCATTAATGTCTGAGTTATTCACACAAGTTTTGGTTTCTTATGATAATCTATTATTAGCAATGCTTATAAGGCTTAGGTTATCATCTGATGATCATAATGGTTATTATCAAAGTCAGAAAGGGTACTTGCTTGCATATCACTAAATTTGTCAACCCACATATTCTAAGGGTAAGGTTTTAACATGAGTTTTGTTTCCTCTGGTTATCTTTGGAGACAGAAATGTAACAAGAGGGAATGGAGACAGGTTGTACTGTATTCTTTATTCTTTCTTGAATCAACAATCAAACTAAAAGGAAAACAAATAACAATAATAAATAAATAATATATCATAAAGCAATCTCATCAAACCAAATTTACATATTATTACACAATTTCCAAACACTTTTTATGAAAGGCAGCCAATTCCTCATTAACACAAAGCTACATATTTGTCATTTCATAAATTTTACAGCTTGATTTTGATAGCACATCCAGTTAGCTGTACTCACGACTAAACCCATTAGGAGCATGAATATCCAGCAAAGCAATTATACATTGTCAAAACATAAACTTACCATTTACTCCCTATTTCTTCAATAAGTTGGCTATGTACACTCAGTCTCATTCACTTTAGTGTTAAAACCTAAATGAAATTAAGTGCAATAAAAATGGTGCTGTAGAATAAGCCACTTTCCCTAGTGCACTTACTAGTAGCAACTACAGTACATTCTGTAATTTTAAACATACACTTTTAATGTAACAATAAAGTGTGAACAACATAACTTTTAAACAATAACAAAAATGGCATATGCTTACTTTTTGGCTATCTTCTAAGATCTCCTAAGCTAAGGTCATGCCTGTTTCACTACTTTCAAATGTCTGCCAAATTCAGCACAGAAAATGCTAGCAGGTCACATGGACCACTTCTCACTTATGCAAATCATAAGTGGACAGACAGACTGAGATTGTGCTAGTTGTGCTTCTAGTACTGCCGGTGCAATCACTGCAACTACAATCTTTTATCATTGACTTCCCTTAAGCCCCCTTTACACTGGACGGCTTCCTTTCTGCGTCCAGCAGTACGGCCCTATTTGAGAGTTAAAAAATTATAATACTTTACGTGCCGACAACTGGCCGATCATTGAGCATTCATTCTGATACAAAATCAATGCTCGTGCCTCCTTATTAAGACCACAGCGATGTCAAATTTCCTGGTCGCAGAAAGGACGCAGAAAGGACGCCGTCCAGTGTAAAGGGGGTATTAGCATTGCTGTCTTGTCCCAAATTTCTTAGGTCAAATCCTTTCAGGGAAGCACGATTTCTTTCCGAGTTCATAAATGTGCACTCTTATTTAATTTCAGAAACTTTATCCCCGCCCCTCCTCCTACTGCCAAACTGCCCCCCCCTGAGCCAGAGTCCACTACCAACCATGACTAAGGACAAGGCTGAGGATCTCAAACTTCCAGCCATTGATATACATGGCCAGGGCCTAACAGCTAAACCTCGTGCCAGCAAGAGGAATGGAGGTGTTGAGCATTTGGTCACAACTGTTAAGAGCCATCCTCTCAGACAGATCAGGCGCCAGACCAAAAGCAGATGCCAGGTCAAAGACAATGCTCACAGCAACAACTAAAAGACACGTGTAGTGTGTTTGCCTTTCTGCAAATGCCATCCAGTAGAGAAGCAGTGTATATGGTTTTCTTTTTCTTCATCCTAAAGTATATCATTCTATTTGCTTCCTCATAACCAAAATTCAGAAATTCAAAAACTTCAGGGTATTAATATTTGCTCAGTTGTGACTTATAAATTCACCGCTTATTTACCATGTACTCAGTTGTGCTACAATAGTGAGTCAGTTATTCTAGTTATTTTACTCTGTGATATCACATCAGCAAATCAGCAAAATATAGGGTATTTATATTCTGTGTAAGACAAACAGTTCATATATTATATTTTACACTCACATGCTACAGAATTCCACTTTGGTTTGTTTCATTGGTTATAATTGGTCTAGATCTGTTAAGTTTGAGAGTTTTAGAACAATAGCTTTTCAATCAAATTACATTTTGTTATGCCCAAAAGATAAATTAATACTACGCACTATTTTCTGTGATAGAAACGAGGTGCCTTTTCTGGTATCTAAGATAATTTTGTTAAAAACCTTTCAAATTATCCATGCCATCTCTCTCGGCAAAGTATTGTTATTTTGTTTAGTGAAATGACGTTAGTGTTAGAAAAGAGACGCCTCTGGTGTCTAAGATATTTTTGTTTAAAATCTTTCAAATTTTTCATGTCACCTTTCTCGGCAAAGTCCTGTTATTTAGTTTTGCTAAAATCAAGTGTTAAGAATGAGGTGTTTTTTCTGGCATCTTGGATATTATTGCTTAAATTTTTTCAAATTTTTCATGTCACCTTTCTCGGCAAAGTAGCTATTTTGCTTGCTAAATTTCGTGAGTGTTAGAAAAGAGATGCCTTTTCTAGTGTCTAAGATTTTTTTGTTTAAAATCTTTTAAATTATTCATGTCACATTTCTCGGCAAAGTACTATTATATTATTTTGTTTGCTAAATGGCGTAAGTGTTAGAAACGAGACGCCTTTTCTGGTATCTGAGACATTTTTGTTTAAAATCTTTTAAATTATTCATGTCACATTTCTCGGCAAAATACTGTTATTTAGTTTTACTAAATTGCGTAAGTGTTACAAACGAGACGCCTTTTCTGGTATCTGAGATATATATTTTTTAAATCTTTTAAATTATTCATGTCACCTTTCTCGGCAAAGTACTGTTATTTAGTTTTGCTAAATTGCGTAAGTGTTACAAACGAGATGCCTTTTGTGGTACCTGAGGTATTTTTGTTTAAAATCTTTTAAATTATTCATGTCACATTTCTCGGCAAAGTACTATTATATTATTTTGTTTGCTAAATGGCGTAAGTGTTAGAAACGAGACGCCTTTTCTGGTATCTGAGATATATTTTTTTTTAATATTCAGATTATTCATGTCACCTTTCTTGGCAAATTACTGTTATTTTGTTTGATAAATTACTTAAGTGTTAGTTGATTTAATGATCTTGCGAACCATTGAAAATAACTGAACTAGTATGACCTAGAATATCTTGTAGCCAGTTAGTTCTGGGTGTCATTGTACTGAAAACATGTAAAACGCATTGTATTGTCTGTGAATACTGTACGTCAACCGGGCATGTAACCAAAAATCTGTCCTTGTATTCACTTTAGTTGATCCTTAAGTTGTACAAATTCGGAAAATTTATGGCATTTCAAGACGTTAAATTGGATTTTACCTCGTTAAGCAACTTGCCATTCCAAGCGCGGGGGCACCATTGAGAATAATGCGCTCTTTAAAATGTCAAAACGGGGTGGAAGCAATCCTTGTGGCGTCTGTTGTCGACTACCAGGTCGCTGTAAGTGGAGGTGTGAAGAGTCGATGTTTGATCACGGCGTCGTGGCTCGCGCTTGGCGACCTCTTCAAGCGACCCAGGCGCTGTTCCGGTCGAGGACTGTCCTGTATGCCGGACCATGGAAGTCTTATACAGGCTGTCCTCGTGGTGTGACGGCACTGGGTTGTTCAGCTTTGCTGACACTGGGGTGTCCTAGCTTGAGGACACTTTGTTGTTGAGGTCAAAGAGTAACAGCTGTGGTAATGTGTGAGAATTTTGGCCCGGATCATCGAGATTTGCACGTGACTTGGGAAAGGCGGCAGCGCTGCCGGGAGAACCGAGATTCTGTGGCGATGTTTTTTTAGAGAACGTTTGCATCTTTGGAGCATCTGCTGCTTGTAGTGACATTTGGCTTGGCGGGGGAAAGTCTAGTTTTGCGAAATGAGATGTCATATAATTTCTTGAATTTTACATCTTACATTTTTTGGCATTGTATTTCAATAAAATCACTGATCTTACTCATTTGAAATTTGTGTTCAGAATTATGATTTGAAGCACCACAAAATGCATGCAAATCAAGCTATTTTGTCAGTCCACAATGGAAGCTTATGACCAAAATTTTAAGGTGAAACTGAAAAATTACATCTTTTTACATCTAAAATACATCGTAACTTTTAATCACAAGTAATCAAATTTTGTTTATATTTGATCTCTATCTTTATCACGTACTCCGTCATTCAAAGTTTTACTGGCAAAATTGCAAAATTTTCAAAACTTTTTGTTATTAAAGCAAGAGTGATCAAAGTCTCGCAACATTGCCTTTAAAAGCAAACCCCTCTTCGTTGTTTGTCGATATATTCATTTCTTTAAGTTGGCTTTTCAAAGTTATCGAGCTTGAAAAAATTCAAAAAACGAAATTGATATTTATGGCATAATGTTTATTCGTATGCTATAAATATGTCTCCGCATACTGACAAGTACAGACCAAATACTGGTCCTTATTCAACATATTGTATGACATCATACAAAGACACTTCTATATTCAAAAACATATGTATAGAAATGCACACATATGGTTCATTGTGATACAGTGCATACACTGTAAAGTATAGTTACGCATGTGAGTAATCATTTGTATGAAAATATAGATCTATGCGACATTTAAAATATACTTTGACATGGAGATGGGTATCTCTAAACAGACTGTTCAGGAATCCTAAACAATTTCAAAAATACTTAGCTTTGTACAATTGACTCACATTTTCTACGAAACGACAAATTAAAAATAATCCTTACTCTTTTTTTTTTTTTTTTTTTTTTTTTTTTGGACTGCCTAGTGCAATTTTGACAATGTATACTGCTGGCTTCACTGTCTATGTATTGCACCGTTCATCAGTGTGTAAAATCTATCATTTCTTATGCGTAAACTTTCTAAATCAAAATCAAAGCAGTGCATGATCCTAATACGCATTTTGTAGTACAATGGAAAAACAAATTGTGCATATAACCATTAATATCATCACTAAACATATCACTAAACAGACCGTTCAGTGATCCTAAAAAAATTTAAATACCTAAACTTGTACAACTGACTCACATTTCATACATATCGACCAATTTTCGAAGATCACTTTTTTATCTGTATTTGATTGTCTAGTGCAATTTGACGAAGCATACTGCAGGCTTCACTGTCTATGTAATCATTTCTTATGCGTAAACTTTCTCAATCAAAATCAAAACAGTGCATGATCCTAATACGCATTTTACAGTACAATGGAAAAAAACAAAATTTGGCATATAACCATTAATATGAATCATCATTAAACAGACTGTTCAGTGATACTAAAAAAAATTAAATACTTAGACTTGTAGAATTGCCTCACATTTTCTACATACCGACCAATTTAAAATTCTTTTTTTATCATTATTATTTTTTTTTTTTTCATTTGTAATTGACTGTCTTGTGCACTTTTGACGATGTATACTGCTGGATTCACCGTCTATGTAATATTTTTCTAAAAGTCACATTTACATAAAATTGACGTTATAATAAATATATGTGTATAGGTATTGCACCGTCCATAGGTGTGTAAAATCTACCATTTCTTATGCGTAAACTTTCTAAAACAAAATCAAAGCAGTGCATGATCCTAATACGCATTTTACAGTACAATGGTAAAACAAAATTTGACATATAACCATTAATATATGGATCATCACTGACCAGGCTGCTCAGTGATCCTAAAAAAATTAAAAATGCGTAGACTTGTTCAATTGTCTCACATTTACTACATACCGACCTATTAAAGAAAATCCTAATCCTTTTTTTTTTTTTTTAATTGACCGTCTTGTGCAATTTTGACGATGTATACTGCTGGATTCACCGTCTATGTAATATTTTTCTAAAAGTCAAATCTACATAAAATTGACCTTGTAACAAATATATATATGTATAGATATTGCACAGTCCAAAAGTGTGTAAAATCCACCATTTCTTATGCGTAAACTTTCTAAAACAAAATCAAAACAGTGCATGATCCTAATACGCATTTTGCAGTACAATCGAAATACTGAGCTTGACATAATATAACCATTAATATGTGAATTGTCACTATGATCTTTTACACTGCGACCATACACAGGCAAGATCCAATACTTGACATGTAGCCTACCTATTTATAGGTGCATGATCATGGCGAGCGTCCATGTGGATAACGGTACACAGAAACCCCATGCTTTCAGTTCTTAAGTCGAAGAACCCATGCAGATGGAAACAATGATCGTGAGGGTTCTTTTAAAAATTCAAAAAATTTTAGATATACAAATTACAAACCGGCCAACTCTCGGTGGTAGACGTAATGTATACTCCAGTTCATGCACTACGAGAGTTGTGAAATTCAAAGGCAAATCCACTGTCAAAAACCTGCATGGTATTCCTGCCAACGCATTCAAGTCCAACAAAATCTCTAACGACAGATGCGCTGTTGTTTAGGCTTGTAGTACACGCAGTCGTTTGGGCGTGGCCCTCTGTTACAAAGCCGCCCGCACACCGAGATTCTCTCACGGCAACATTCCTCCTACTCCTATATCTACGTCCGCGCTGCCGGCTGTGGCTAGGGACTCGCAGATGTTCCTCCTCAACGAAGAAACTTCTCAATTTAAACATGATGAAGTCCCAAATTTCTCCCAATGTTTCCTCTTTCCCTGTGTCAATGTAGTCGCTCACAAGTTTGTGCAGTCTGCGATACTGCAGGGCCCTGGTGCAAGGTCCGTATGGAATAGGGCCGTCTGAAATTTAATACAAAACGTGAACTATTTTTTTTTATCAGATTTACACTGTGCTGAATGATACTGTGTTGTTAATATTGAACAATGCACTGCAGCGAAAAATAAATTTCAAAAAAAGGCCTACAGGAAAAAATTTGAAGTCTAAACGAAAGTTTTTTTTTATTTCAATTTAAAATGTCAATAAAAAGAATATATGACACAGACCATTCATTATATTTATCATTTATCAATTCCCGAAAATTTTTTTAATAAATGATATAAAAGAATTGAAATCGACACACAGATAACTTAGGCCTACCATAATATGTTACATCCCTGTGGCAAGCTTGGGGCAGCAACAGTTTTATCAGGCGTTTCTGAGTCCGATGCACCCTCTGGCCAACATTCATCTCTTTCAATGCGCAGAAAATTTGTTCCTTGCGGGATAGTTCTTCCTGTAGCTTGGACAGAGCGATCGGACTTGTGTCGCCTTCCTCCAAATATTGACTGAAAGAAAGGAGCACCCATACGTGGAATAAACGCTATGTTGGTACCCTGAGATTGAGAATATAATAGTGAACGGGTCCACTGTCCAGTAGTATTCAGTAAATACATTTCTTTTGATTTTGGATCTAATAGCATATGTGTGTTGCTGGTAATTTCAAAGGAGTGGTCCTTTTTCTAAAAAGTGAACCTACTCAACCCGTTAATTGTCCCAACGTGAGAAATTCCATTAGACTTATACCAAATTTTGAGTCAGAGTGAAACTTCACCTGCCAAAAGGGCGGTTTGTTCAAAGTCCACGACCTTTCCCACCCCCAACCCTCTGAGCTATATTATCCAGATATCCGACAATATCACTTGTAGGTACCTGAAGCCAAATACGCACGCATCAAGAAAGTTTAGAAAAATGCCTTTTGTGTATCAAAATGTCAGAAAAATAAGGAAAGAAAGAAAAAAACTCTCACCTGTACCACTTTGACCCTTCAACCTCGGGCATCAAATGAAACCAAGCATTTTTCTGAACCATCCTCTTTACCGCCATCTGGCGGATCAAGATATCCGCCCCGTAGGCCCACAACTGATTCATCCAACACACCACTTCCTCCTTGGCTCTACCGGGGTCCCACAGAGCACCGTAAGGACTCTGGCGATAATGCAAATCCCAGAGAAAAGAGGTGTACAATGTCTGCACTTCATAATACCGCTGTCCAAGTGACTCGTAATGCTCAAGTGAGTCCAAGTCGTACTCGTTGAACAAGCACCATGATTTGTACTGTTGGTCCACAACGCTGTATAAGTCGGCGCAGTTGTTCATGTACCTCAATACGAGGTCGAGGTCTGAAAAAGACGAATCGGGTAATATTTATTGTTCAGTCACAGTGACTTCTGAGTTACTTCACCAAATACATTCTCAATTTAATTCAATTCAAATCAATTCAATACAATTATTACTCACACCTGAAGTTTTGTCGTATCAGCATCTAATTAACGAAGGTATTCCTTGAAAAAAACATAATAACAAAAATATAATAAATAAATAAATAAATGGATAAACAGCTAAAAAAACAATTATTTCTATTTTTACCGAATTCTCCATTTCGAATCTTGGCCTTGTTTGTCATCAAGAATGGGTGGGTTTTGAATAAGTGGTCCATTAGCATATCCACGATGGGCCCCTGTCCCAGGTTCAATTCTTCGGCCATATCGTACAGTTCGTCGACCTCGTCTCCATCTTTAACAAAACAAGACAAATAAATCAAAATCAAAATATATAAGAGACACCTCTTCAGGATAAATCTAGCATTTCTAATAATTGAAACAGAAGTGTTAAATTGATTTCAGAATCAATCAATCAAATTTTAAAGGAGGAGCGTTTGTAGTTACCTAATATTTGAACGTCACGTATGGCCTTAAATATGGGGGTATCAGCCGACCTGTGGCCCTCCAACAGTCGAGCGAGTGTCCTTATTTCTACTGTCTGTACGCAAGCATCGTATAGAGCTTCTATTATGATGTAATCTGTAACAGTAAAGATGTTCTTTTTAAGATATCATACAAAATTCTTTACTATACATCACATTACACATTACAGGTACACAGTACAGATATTCCCCGCGAAAAACGAACACTTACAGAATTTTACTGGAGCAAATGATGATTTCCTTTGTGCCATCAACATTTGATCCTTTTCATTCGCCATGACTTTTAGATTCCGCACGATTTAAATGGTTGACGGAAAAAGTGGTAATTTGATTTTTTTTCTCTTTGCGACATGAAATCATGGCGTATACGTTAAAATATTATTAAAGGGGGTTTACTCGTCCCCAAATTCGTTAAAAATGGTTTATGTATTACACTCGAGGTAAAAAGCCCACACTTCACCACTTAAATAAAGAAATTTGAGAAAAATGTACGATGAAATTGGAAGAAAAATGTACACATTGCTTGTATATATATCACACATACATATCATTATTTTCATGTCCTAAAATCACTAGGCATAGCGATCACTTTAAAACACTTTGGTATTTAGCCTAAATCATATCCCCACATCGATGTATTCACAGAACGAGTTCGTATTAAGGTAAGCTACTCACTATCTGCTAAGCATTCCATGTAATAGTCGTAAAACTTGACATCACAACCGGGGCGGTTCATTCGCTGCCGGTGCAGGGACAGTAGACCACCCCAGCTGAGGTCCATGTCGTCTATCGAAGATTCATCTTGATCTAGAATACAAAGATCATAAAGTTTTTGATGATGTGCATAAGACATACGTTTTACTTTTACTTGTTTTTTTTTTTTTTTCAATCAAAATAATGGGCCCATAAGTAAAACTCCGCTTTGTTAGAATATCTTAAATCAACATGGATCTGGGCGAATAATCATGTATTTACCTTGGAAATAATGCAGCGGAAAGTTGAATAGCTTCAACATTTGGGAGAAAAGGAACTGTTTGCCTCGCTGCCAGTAGGGGTCTTTAGCATCCAGTGCGTACAGACACGTGATCACTTCTGGATCTCCCGCCATTAACCCTTGGTACTCCTTCTCGTAGATCAGACCTTTTACGTACTGCAGTTTGTACAGCAGCGCTGACACCATCTTGGGAGCCAGTGCAGGGTCTGGGATTCTCATGAGATATTTACCAAACCCGGAATCATACACGTTCTGAAAGAGGTAATTTAAGTTTTGACTTACACGCCATGAAATGCCCCTGGACTTTTTTTTTCAAAAAAGCACCGATAATCGCGGAAAACTGAATGTATCATAAAAAAAAAGAAAGGTATGTTAAAATTAGTTTGTTTTGAATAGAGAATAGATGCGTTGATGTATTATAGTTATCGACTGGTACATGGTCTTACCTCAACGTGTCGCTTCCAAAAGTATGGATCACGGCACAATGCTTGAAATGTCTTACAAGTGCGGGAAAATTGAACAAAGCTCTTGGTGTCAAGATGCTGAACAATTTGCTCCATGAGCTCTGGAGGCAGACTTGTAAGTTGACATGGCGGTTCCTCCTCGGCCTCCAAATATTCAAGACATTTTGTCTTTTTCCAGTGTGGAATAGGATCATTCGAGTGTCTGATCCTCTTCTTCGCATGTCCACTAAACGAATTCTCTCTGGTAGTCATGGCTACTTCACTAATATCAAATAAAATTGCTGAAATTTGCGCGAGAAATAATCCTCGTGACCAAGTCAATATCCAACTTGGGCGTTTAATCGCCTAGCAACGCTTTCCTTGGCAGCGTTACGTCATAATGCGCGCGTGATCAAACATTGGTTGTGACGTTTGCAACGTCATTTGGCTGTGCGACGTCAACTTCTTTGATAACACAAGTCAGATTGATAAGAATAGAGTGGAAATTGGCATATTGGATCTAGATCAAGTTCTCTGTTCTGAATGCTTTATTTCAATGTCAAAGAGTCATAAATGCACATTCTTCTCTGCTTTAATTTTTTACTCGATGAGATCTTGGTTTATACACCTCATTTATACAATTTTAAGAGATTTTTAATAGGTTGGAGTTCATTCATATGGTGAGACTTTTTTTTTTCAGTTTCCTATCATCAGATGACTGATATGTGACAGTTGCACTTTGGTGCACGTCATCGGTATTAAAACATGGCTCTGCTTTCAATTAAGCCCTGCTTTCAATTAAGTCATATGAATAAAATACACGGAAACTAATGAGACTTAACAAAAATAGGCTTAGAACGGAGTAGATTTCACATTGTTCTAGAAACTAGAATAGGCCTAAATAGACCTACATTGTTTTTGCTTCAACGCTATTTTTGCTTTATTTTGCCCCCC